CCCCTCCGTCCTTCGTTAAGCCCTGTCACCACTTCACCCTCCGTCCTTCTCTAAACCCTGTCACCACTTCACCCTCCGTCCTTCTCTAAACCCTGTTGTCTTGCTGCCTTATATACTCCACCCACTGACAGGTGGATGTAACGAGCTCATCAGTGTGATTCACTTCACCTGTTGTTCCAGACTTACTGTGTTCAAGAACATGTCTATTGCAGAGTCACAGACAGCAGCATGAACATAATGTCCCATCTAAGAATGATGACATATATTTCTTGAATTTCACAAATTGTCTGTACAAGTATATATTTTACACACTTTATTCATATGATTTTTAATTTCAATGTTGTTTTTATTTATTATTATTATTATTGAACACTCTGGGTTTCCATAAAAGGCTTTAAATCTGAACTGTCCTCACCTGTAAGCCAACACCAAGTGTTTAGGTACTTCCATACTGATACACAGCCTCGCTATGAGCTACCCATAATGGCTACAAGTAGCAGCTACAGTAGTTTTCCTTTCAGCAAACAGCAAATATACCACTGAACATTTTCACAGTGTAAAGTCTTTCTCTAGCAGCCAGACAGACAGTATGTCAAACTTTGGTTCAATTTGAGTTCACTTTCATTATTCTCCAGTCTTTTTGGAGTGCAGTACAGTCAGTGAACCTCTCTGGATATACTGTAGTCCCTAGGGGGTTGCAGTATATTCTGCAGAAAGGGGGAAGTAACTAAGTACATTTACTCAAGTATTCTACTTAAGAGCAGTTTTGTGGTATCTGTACTTTACTGGAGTAGTGTCATTTTCTGCTACTTCATATTTCAGCTTCCTTACATTTTACAAAAAATGATACTTTTTACTCACTACATTTATTTAATAACCTTTTACTCTTTACTTTTCAGACTGAAATTAATGAATGAAAATACAATATAATCAGAAGAATTTCTTCATCCCAGCTGGGAAGTACTGTATAAGCATATAAGGTATTTAGCATTAGCTCTACTTTTACCAGCTGTAACACGTGTGATATGCACAATAATACATCATTATTATAGTCCAAAAATATGATATACATTAATATGAACTGTACCATTCTGCATAATGAATACTTTTCCCTTTTACTACTTTAAGTATTTTTATGTTAATACATTTGTGCTTTTACTTCAGTAACAATTTGAATGCAGGTCTGTTACTTGTAAGAGTATTTTTACACTGTGGTATTGCTGCAGTCTGAGTACTTCTTCCACCATTGGTAGATGACGATGTAGAATAGACAAAAATGTATATTTACATGTAAAAAGTGAAATGTATGAAAATTGTTTTGGTTGTATTTAGTTATTTTGTTTGTTTTTTTTAAGTAAAAAGTTTTAAGTTGCAATGTACTGAGTCATTATTTAGCGTAGCAATAAGAGAGGCATGTTTGATATTGTTTGACAGTGTAAGTTTGTTCAACAGTAATTACTGGAAAACAGTGTATTGACTTTCTCCTCTCCTCCCAAGGTCTTTCTCCCAACTGTGTTTCATTTAAAGACAGCACCAAATCTGACTGAGGGGGTAATGCGACAAGCATGTGTCCTGCTGTGACTGAGGTATGTTTCATTTTATCCATGAAAACATTGAAATGGTCGTCTGTGATGTTCCAAAATGAAAGCAAAGAACAGCCACATTGTACTTTTTACTCAGTTACATTTGACAGCTTTGTTACTTTTGAAATTAAACCTTCAAAACCGTTAAGATCTGTGTAATTTCCTCTCCCATTAATCAGCTAATAATCCCCTGGTTTATTTTGTGACTCTTTAAGGAGGCCTGGTCCCTACGCCAGATTAAACTCTTATTTTATATGAAGTAGAGCGATCAGAGATCAGTTCAGTAATGATAATGTGAGCCACAGTCATAGGGGTCTGGCAGAAACAGTACTTTAGAGTGGTAGCATATTACTTATTAAATACAGATTTAAATGCAAGACTTGTTACGCTGTTAAATTTGAAGACATTCTTCAGTAAAAGGATCTGAGTTACTCTTCCACTACTGCAAATAGAAGTATAATTGGATTCACTGTAGAGACAGTAGCAATCGTTCTGCTGCTCTATCCAGCACCGCCCTCTAGTGATTCAAAATATCTGCATACAAAGGAAAACAAAAAACAAACAAAAAATCTCACGCATGTTAATTTTTTAACATTTTCAGTTTGAAGTTTAATGTTAATTCCATGCTGTGTTTCAGTAAGAATACAGATGGGACTTGTGGCTCCGCTGAGAATATCCAGTAGTACAAATCAAATTCGTGTTACACATACTGAACAGAAGGAAGAAAACAAAGAGTAGAGATACAGCAGGCCTCTATTCCCAAAACTTTTTCTTTTATAGCGTGCCAATGCAAAACTGCATTACCTTACAATCAAGAATGAGCATTCCCTTCCCTCCCACACAAACATAGGAACATTTTGGCTGCTAAAAAGCCATTACCTAAATATCTGCCATTAGCAAAAGCACTACAGCCTCGCAGCACAATATTTGGTCAGAGTGGACAAGGATAGAGGTCAGAACGATGTCTGGAGAAGGGGAAATTGTTTGGTAACCACAGAGTAGAGAGGGCACTTGGCTCATCCTAAGAGTTCTAGCACATCCCTTTCAAACTGTCACTGCTTTATTTCCTCAATTATAAAGTGAAATGTTTCAAAACTGACTGACAGAAGCAAGGATGGCAAACACATACACAGAAAAAAAGTTGAACAGCAAAGTACTGTCTTTAAATAAACTCTTGCATGTTTGTGTTACAGGTAAGCAAACTTGGCAACAAATGATACTGCAAAATAAAAACTATAAAGGAGGACACAAACCCTAAAGGGCATAGGTCTGCAAAAGGAAGAATCAAAAATAAAGTAAATTCCCAAGGGAGTGGCCATGACAACCCTAGCAGGCCCTGAGGGAACTGGAAGATGACATGCATATGAGGAGGAAAGGTGAGAGATGGGTAGAAAAGGAGAAAAAGGTAGAGAGAGTGTGTGTGGGCTGCAGTATAAACCCAGTGGAAAACTGGCTGGGGACAGGAGCTAGTGCTGGAGGAGATAAACAAGGGAGGAGGAAGGCTTGTCTTGTGTTGTTCAGTCTCATTGGGCCTCTTCCTCTGCGTCTTGCAGTGCTTCTTTGCTCTGTTCTTCACCTAAGACAGACAATAACGTCATTATCTTTGCATGCTCAGGAAAAGATTTTCAAAAGGCAGCTACAGTATGGAAGTAAAGCCCCACCAAAAGAAAAGGTGCACAAGCCACACTACTCAGTGTGCACCTCGTAATCTCAGAGTGTACAGGCACAGATTTGGAAGTGCAGAATCATATTGGAGAGCATAATCCCAGCCACGCATGTGCTCGATTTCTGAGTATGCGCTCTCAGAATTCGCCACCAGGGTTTGTGTGAAAAGACAAACGAGCGCACCTGTGGCCAGGCTTATGCTCTCCAGTCTAATTCTGCGCTTACAAATATGTGCCTGTGGACTATCAAATGCTGAGTTGCAAACTGAGTAGCCCTCAAAATGGAAACATGCTTCGTGCTCCCTCAAACATTTTGACAGGGATTTACTTCCACAGGATATTCACCAGAATGAAAACCAACTGTATAGTGAGAGTGAATGAATTTACTAAGTGGTTTAAACAATTGGATCCAAACTGGAGGGCTGTTTAACACATATCTGGATTGCAGGTGCCAAATGTGTTGCCACATTCACTGATCTCAGAAATAGAGGTAGTGAGTAATGGGGATGTCATGAGAACTGATACCAACAACATTATGAAAAACTGACGGTACTTGGTTAGAGGGCAAAGGAATGCTTTATCATATACATTTATAGAGTCAATAAAATTCTGGTGACTTGAGATCACTAATAGAAGAATGTGACTGTGTCAACATGCAGGCCTGTGGGCAAGAGTTAATTCAGTGCCTTCTAAACAAACCGTAGACAGATTTACTCCCAGGGTAAAAGCGCCTTGTGAACCTGTACAACATGTCACTTAGACAGGCTACCATAGAGACAGTACAGCCATCCCTATAATGAAGAATTAAGAGGCACAAACAACAAAGGCCTGAGCATCTAGCCTGATCAAAATAGAAACTGTAGCAGTGCTCATTAGCACCTCAGCTTACTGGGATGTGAGAACTCCACAGGAGCAAATGTTCCATAATTATGCAGTACTGTTTATTTTTGTTTTTGAGAAAGCTTTAACAAAACACTATTTCCTACAAGTGCAAGAGCTATGTTTGCGTTTCCAACCTCTGCCTCACCCAGCCAATTATCTGCCCCAGTGGGCTGCATTCAGCATTAAGAACATGCATGGTGAAGGACCAGGGAGTCTGCAAGCTCTGCTAATTAACAGGGAAAATGATTGAAGCTCAATCTTTATCCCACCATAGAGGACAAGTTTACTTGTTTCTGTTCACAGTTCCCAATTAGATATGAATCAGACTCTCAGGTGCCTTTTTTTTTTAAGAGAGCCAAATTAAATATGAACATTAGAAAACCTAATTTAAATCACTCTGACATCTTTAATAAGTAAAAGTAATAACTTTGGCTGTGGAACAAGGAACAAATGTTCCATAATTATGCAGTATTGTTTATTTTTGTTTTTGAGAAAGCTTTAACAAAACACTATTTCCTACAAGTGCAAGAGAATCACATCCTGAAAGGCCCCAGAATTAAAGCCAGTCAAATGGAAACTATGAGAATGGACAGGGGAATGTGTATCGCAACAGGGAATTTTTAACAGGAGCTGAATCCTAAAAAAATAAATTATTCAAAGGCCCTACAGTTTTCCAAGTTTGGCTTAAAACAACAGTCAGGTCTGTATAATGGCTCCAGAAGATATTCAGACCCCTTCACTTTTTGCATGTCATGCTGTGGATTTCATTCTACACTCCAAAATAAGAGGACCACACAATGATGTGGGCACAAAGTGAAGGGGTTAGAATACTTTAAGTGCTGTTCATGAGGCTCAGAAGTCTGTTACACACATCAACTGGATGACTTCCCATGTCTGTTTAGTGCCAATTTCTCTGCATTTGTCTTTTTGCTGCAGCTCAAACAGTCCAGGGAGAGGCAAACACGAAATAAACAGACTGTAGAATTGAAAGACATTCTCTAGTCTAGGCTGCAGATAAACACTGGAATATGGTGAAATGACTATATGGTAGTATGCACAACCTATGTTCAAATAGGCACCTGAATGTTGTATTATACACATTTGAAGAAGCGTGACCCAGATTTTTAAATTCAATCAGTAGGGTTCAAATGTGAATGCCAATATCAATTGCTATAGTTAATCCATGTTTATCTTTTTATTACTTATCTAGAACATGGAACTGATTTGAGAGACTGCACTGAGCAAAAGAAGGTGGTTAGCTAGCAGTCACCTGGGAAGCACAGCCTGGCCTTCAGCTACAATATTTTGCACTCCGTGGTCCTTATGAGAATGATACACAACCTTGCCTGATTTCAACTATTACCAACTTTTTTTTTTATACACACTAATACACAGCACTCATTTCTACACATGCAGAAAAATTCCACAAGTTGCAATTCCAATGCCCCAGAGGCTGGACCTTGTGCTGTGCTGTTAGTGAGGGGTATCAGGGTAGTGAGACAGGAGTGACAGCCTAAGTGGGGGGGAAAGCCCAAGAAGGGAGGGATGACTTACAAAATACACTTTTATAATGAAGCAAGAGTGACTGAAGACAACTGTCCTTAATCTAGGGAAGAACGAGGGAGACACGAGACGTTAGAGCAGTGTGAGAGCGCTGAGCCCGAGAGACAAAAGACAGGGTACTTCAGAGGAACCGCAGTGCTGAGAGGAAAGATTCGAGAAAGTTATTCAGTTTTCTTGATTTTTGAAAGTCAGCTCAAGTGCTGGAAGAAAATTACTGAAATTGTCTGGGCCAGCTCCTTACAAATATGTATCAGAACATGCAGTCACGCAATAAATGAACAAATCACAAGAAAGCCTGTCAAAAGGCAAGTAATGATGCTGACAGCAGGGAGCCAATCATCTGTCAGTACCACTCAGTACTGGGCATGTTGAGATCAGATACTACTAGTCAATGCTGTCCCTTCAAACACCTACAACTAATGTGCTGAGAAGAAAAATAGTTCTCTCACCATCTCCCTGCACGTCTGAGGTCCATAGTGTCAAGTTGTCCCGTAGCAACTGCATGATAAGTGTTGAGTCCTTATAGCTTTCCTCACTCAGCGTATCCAGTTCTGCAATGGCATTATCAAACGCTTCCTTCGCCAACCTATCAGCAGAGAGGATGGAAAACAAGGTCACATGCATATGGGGAACAGGTGGATTCTGGGTATGATTCTGTTAACAAGCAGAGCAGTGCAGAAGCAGTGAGGTTATGTGTTCCCTTTATGAAGTGCTTCCACGTTGCCAGGTTCCTGACAATGATTTAACTACAAGTGTCTGACATCTGGAACACACATTCCTAGGCTTTTTTTTTATGTGGGATTTGAAAGACACTAAAACGTGGATGTATTTTGCATAACTGAGAAAAATAGTAAATTGCAAATGTTACAGAAGGATTTTTTTTTTTTTTAGATATACTAAGAAAAGAATGTCTTGGTTGCTCGCTTTCTGGATGCTTGTCTCCATCCGTCTCTCACTGGGCGACTTCTGCTTCTCTGAAGTTTGACAGTGCTGCCAGCAGGTCTTCATGACAATAAATGTGCAGGCCATAAATCTGATGAGTCTGGCACAATCAGTGACCATTTTCACATTACAATTTTCATCCTGATATATTCAACATAACTTTAAACTGATACTTCACCTCTATGATACAAACAAATAGGGATGCCAAACACTAGTTGAGTCATGATTGACTCATTTCTTTTCTCAGCTTCTTCAAAATCAAGGTTCAACTGGTAAACCCACATATACTGAGTGCTTGGAACTGGGATGTGTATACTGTATACATTAAGTGGGCAATTAAACATTCATGCATCCTTGGCAGTTTGAAACTCACTCACCTGCAAGCACGGTCTGGCGAGTTGAGGATTTCATAATAGAAAACTGAAAAGTTAAGGGCCAGTCCCAGGCGAATGGGATGTGTTGGAGGGAGTTCGATCATGGCGATGTCGCTAGCAGCTTTGTATGCAACCAAACTGTTCTCTGCTGCCTCCTTCCTGTCGTTGCCTGTGGCAAACTCTGCCAGGTACCGGTGGTAATCTCCCTTCCTAAGCAGAAGGAGCAACGCAGTCACACCGATGTCTGTTTTCGTACATGTGCACTATAGACACGACAGTCAAGAGCACTGATTGGCACTCACACTGAACAGGGCTTGTAACACTGTTCAGTACACAGCCGCTTTCATCATTTAATAAAGTGCACCATTATTAATGCATTTGTCACTTAAATATTATTTGCCACTGATACGCCACAAAGTTTTACACAGTTCAAATATATTTCAACCTCTTCAGGGATGTCTACATATAATCTTATTTATTCATTTTCTTAATTTTTCTTTATTAATAACCAGGCTCGAGTAAGACAGAAAAAGCTGCAATACAAAATGTGTTGCTCTCAAGAGTCTATCTAGACACCCCTGGTGTGCATTGGAATTTTATATTTTTGTTACAATTGAGAACACAGTTTTCCTTCAGCACCCAGTTGGATGGATGAGCAGTGTACGTTGTCTCTGGCTGTGCACGGGAATGATTATTGTCTGTAGTTTACCCGATACAGAATAAACTATAGCCTTCTTTGAATTACTGTCTGTCCTACTGGTGTTTTAATGTTAAAAAGAAAATGTATATATATATATAATTGTTCAGTGATGATCATCGCTGACAGCTAAAAATTGAGTTTTTCCAAAAGGCTCTATAAACACAATTTGAAGAGATTTTTACAAACAACGCCACCTTCAAGATCCACATCAGCATCTACAGCCTCAATAGTACTGGCAATGATGAGTAAATAACCAGAGGAAGGAAGTACAGTTTCTAATAAGCCAGGTCTGAACAAACAGCCGGCGCTTCAAAGCAACAGACTGAAGTGACAGTCTTGTTACAACTGAAATCAGAATTTGAGCTTCATGTGATCAGAGAGCTTTTGTTAGGATACAGTCAAATCTAAGTGCAGGAAAAGGTGGGTAAAATACTCCTGTATGATGTTTCATCTGATCGAAAGCTGGTCAGGAGTCATCTGTCTATTGATTTACAAGAGGTACTTGTCCATGTTCAGACATGGCATCTTTTGTGGCTTCAGTCACATCATCAGGGCTGGAACAAGGTGAGATAGGTGTTCACTCAAAGTGTGTAACATCACAGGAGAAACAAAGGTACACAGCAGTCTGCAGCGTGCAAGTTGTCAGAATGAATACATTCTGTGGACACATACATTTTGTAGTAGAAAACCTTGGACTCTCCTGTGGTTGCTGCTAAGATGAGGTGCTTGTCCAGTACATCCAGAATGTCATTGCAGATCGATTTCAGCTCTTTCTCAACCTGCAGAAAGAAAAACAAAACATAGCCAGCTGTGGTCACATAAAACATTACAGGTTCTGGATTAAAATTCTCCTGGAATATTAAAAGTTCTGTTGCAATTTAACACTGATTCAATACTACTAAACTCAGCTGAGGTTCAATCTCATGTTAACTTATGAAATACAAATCCAGGCAGAGGCTCAGGTTGCTGTGCTTTGTCCAGGCAGCACAATCATGATGACGAAGACAGTCACCAGATGTCAACAGTCATTAGTTCATACATCTCGCCAGCTTGTTGAGGATAAATGCTCATTTGATGCTTGAAGCTCCAAATCAGAAACATCTTGAAATAAAGAACATACTAAATCCTTTCCATCACTGAATGACTTGGGCTTGCTGTGCTTCACTGCACTCAGTAGTGCTGCCAGCAAAGTTTCTCTGCAGCAGAGATGAATAAACATGTGATTTAAAGTTGATTCTGGTTGCTGCCTGCTTCATTATTTCACACAGACAAGAGCTGCTGGGCTGTGAACTCTCAGCATTTCCCCTGAAAGGCTTCCTCTGAAAGGTTCATGGAGGAGAGCTTTAAGGTTCTCTGACAACTACTAGATAAGGAAACTGGATTGTACAAGTAATTTCCATAAAAGAAGGCAGCAGGTGTTTCTGGGGTATTATATACAAGAGCAGAGACTATGCTTGAAATGTACATTTCATCCTTTTTTATCTATTGTTTGGACACCAAAGAATTTTATATATTTTTACCAATGGAAAATGTCAAAATGTTGCATAAACATCAGATTTGTCATGATCAAATCCTTACAGAAACCTACAATGTAACACTGCTTACAGTTGGTATATATAGGTTTATAATAGTGCCTGACCGTTTTCCTGTATTCTCGGATCATCTTAAGTTTGTCTTCTCCTCCTTTGTTTTCTTCTTTCTGTTCGAGGCTGCTGATTATCCTCCAGGAGGCTCTTCTGGCACCGATCACGTTCTTATATGCTACTGACAGCAGGTTCCTCTCCTCCACCGTCAGCTCCACATCCATACTGGCCACTTTCTTCATCGACTCCACCATTTCTAAGGGGGAAAAAATGGAACAAATGACATCAGGAACGGGCTTCGCACACCCTCCTGCACAAGATGACAACCTGAACACTGTACCCAAGCACCAACTCTTGTAATGCAGAGATTCAGTGATTCAATGTGACAAGGTGTGAATAATCAATGAAGAATCCAGGGATGAAATGGCAATGAACACAATACTGCACTGATTAGTGGCATAACATGCTGCTTCCCTGGGGATTCGCATACACAACACACTATAGAGCCTCTGTAACCCAATCACATGGAGCACTTTGAGGAGACTCTGCAGGACCACCAAAACAAACCAGTTGTGAACAGTGTGTAATTTCTGGACTATCATGACCATATATGAAACAATATATCATACTATTATTTTGCCTATGAAAATGTAACAATACATTCTGTATCATTTCTGATACACTGGCAGCATCATGCTTTGTATGCAAATAAAAAAAAGCCTTCAGTGGTGTTTAAAATAAATCTGTGGCTGAAACTGCACACAGGTCACGCCTCCCATACTCCCCTGGAGGTAAATGTGCCAATCATTCGGCTCTTAACTTCAAAGAGAGCGTATCTGTTGAAGCCAATTACGGAGATCTTCTGCAATATGCTGGCGAAACCTGATACACAACAGTTACAAGCCAGGAGGAGCACTATACTGCTTTGATCACTTTACCCTCCAGCCCTGCCTGCACTCTCATAAACTCAATAACCTCTGTGATTTTTAAATGCTTCACAAGCATTACAAGCGTTCCAGATCTACTGAACAGGTCAAAATCTGTGTCCTTTACTCTACAGGGGAAAAAAGGCATTCATAAAAAGCAGAGAGGGTGTTTGGTCAGACTTGTACCAGGGATGGTGCAGTCGCATAGTAGACTACGCAACCCAGACCACAAGATACCTGATCGTCCTCTGGCACATAAGCAAGGCACAATGTAGTCAGACTTGGCTCTAAAGATGAAGACGCTGGTGTGTGCTTTCTGGCTGCATCGCTACTTCAGTGTCCACTAACAGCATATAAAAATGGCAAATCTTCAATCAGCCCCATTATTCAGCAGCCATTTTTGTGCTTCTTTGTTCATTTTACTTATTTTGGTCTCTGTTAGACATGCATGGTGCTGAACACTATGTTTCTCTGTTTCAACACCAGAATATGTCACTAAAAGTAGCACCCACTGGTTTGTTTTGATTTACACAAATGCTAGCCAATAAAATGCATCATTAAATTTTATGTCAATAGAAAAGAAATATAATTATATACATTTAAAATAGGCCAGATGCATAAACCAATACATGTATTGGTTACAAACAACATTAACAGCTGTGCCACATCTAAAACACAATGCAGCCAACAGGGAAATTATAATCTATCAATCATCTAACTAAATTGCTATATAAAACTAAATATAAAACCTTAGTCTTTTTGCCTGCTGATTAAAGTTGACTTGAGTTAAATCTGAAGAACCTTAATATCCTGGGTGTCATTTACATCCAAGCTAAAAGGAGGGCACAGTATTAGTTTGACTGGTTTGTTGGAAAGAATACTAACACAGGGTGCTCCTAATATTCCTCTCATGTATGTAGCCAGGGAGGATGAACATACAGACACCTCTGAATATAATTTAGTCAAGTACACCACCACCTTTAACTATGACCTTAACAATAAACATATAATTGAATACATACATTGATGACAATTCCACCAAAAACAGACATTTTCAGCTTCATAAACACAGATGTTAAGGCAGAAGTGTTAACAATGAACTGCATACAATTGTACAGGTGTACTTAATAAAGTGGCTGGTCAGTGTACAAGTGGGTAACAAATGAAAGGAAAAACCAAGATAAAAGTGCCTTAGTGAGGTGGTGGGCCACCATCTTCGCTGCACTTTGGCATTGACTCTACAAGTCTCTGAACTCTACTTGAGTAATAAACACCATTCTTCCAAAAGATATCCCCTCATTTGGTGGAGTGCCCCGTCTAAAACATCAGTCTAAAATCTCCCATAAGTGTTCAGTTGGCCTGAGCATCATTCATATCATTTTCATACTCATCAACCAATTCAGTGACCCTTGTGTCTTATGGTTGGGTGTATTGTCATCATGGAAGAGACCACTCATGTATCTAGGTTTTTCCTTTGTCACCTGTCTGTATTACCATTAATGAGCAGCAAGATAAACTCTGCTTATAAGACGACATCTAGTCAAGTGGCCAAGTGCTTGAGAGTCAAGAATAGACGGCTCAAGATGAACTCCTCACTGCCCCGCCTGCTGTACCCATCAGTCAATTAAAACGCTGGCATGGTGACCTGAACTCACCTAGCATTGCGAGAACGGAGACCTATGTTGTTCAGTTTTACTCTTGTATTCCGTATGCACTGAACACTATACGAAGAACCTGATCAAAATTTTTATTGCTTACAACTAGTGACAGGCTGGCATGTTACCATAACACTAACGTAGGTGAGGACGGAACGTTAGCATTAACTGTGACAGAGATTTACGATACATTACTGTGGCTTGCTGGATCAAATGTTCTGGTTTTGTCGGTGGTTACTGCCAATTCAGAGGGTCAAGTCATGTTTGATGAGGTGTGGATGTTTGCTATAACGTTTACCGCTGTATTTTGAATGGACTTTGTCGTGATGCGTGTCGGGGCTGAGGAAAGGCTAGCCAGCTAGTTAGTTAGCTGTCTTACTGACGTTAACTTTGGTCTCCACGTTAACACAAACGACAATAACCAGGCACCAGAGCAGCCAGCAGAACGTGGCTATGTGCAAGAAAACAGTTTAAGCGAAATATGGTTATTTTAAATGTTTCGGGATTATTTCGATTGGAGAAATCGCCGCCATTTTGTCTCCTCTCACCCAACAAACCCATGTGAAATGCTTTACCTGCGCCTCCAAGCCCCCTGCACGGGGAGAGGGGGGCCAGGCATTCTGCACTGACCGTTATCTATTAAGAGCCTTACCGTCGTATCTCTCCGCTTGTTCGGCGAGTTTTGCCTGGTAAACTAAGTTATCTCTATCTGCCATGGTGCTCGGGTATTCGTTTGTTCGTAGCGTCCCGGCGGAAAGGGAGGATTATTGGCTACTCGGCGATTCCTGGTGGTGGATCAGCAACAGCACCGTCGCTCCGCTGAACCGAAGACCCACCGGTAACACTGGTGTAAAGATGGCGTCGCTACTCCATCCGGGAAACGCACTCTTCATCTATGCCTACACCCTCACCCCACCAAACTCACTTCAAACACCCACAAATCCTGTGTCACTGACTTATCAGTACATGTGGCATCTGAACGATTTAGTCCTTTTTATTCAATTTAGCAACTCGTCCATTCGGCATAACTCACAAATAAACTTTTTTTTTTCCTAATAAAAATGTTGGCTCAGTCATACCTCCCTCTTGTATTTTGAAACTTCATCATACCAACAATGCTACAATATTTGTGCTGATTTATGATAAAATCTCACCTCCGCAAATTACTAATTTCTTAAACCCAAAATACTCCCTTCTAAGTGTATTTTGGGCTGGATCAGCACATTATAAATCGAGCTGAAATTTAGCACCAAGATCTAATAGGCTACTGGATGCTATTAATAAACTTCACATCAATGGACATAATGTAAAGCCAAATGATAATTTAGAAGTATATTAACACATTACACGCTACAGATAATTTTAAAAAATCTAATTTCTAATATTATATTGTCATAACACTGACATAATTGCACATCTGCCTTAAAATATTTTTGTCCTTGTTCTGGTGTTCCTCAAAGGCCGAGTGAAATGGCACAAAAGCAAAAAATATGCTCATGTATTAAAAAACAGCATGCCAAATAATGTGTAATTGTTTTCTTTTTATTTATTTATCATTATTCTTTGGAGCTTTATAGCAGATAAGGTGTAGTCTCTAGTCACAGGAGTCACCAACGCGGTGCCCGCGCTCGCCCGCAAGGACCACTTGAGGCGCCCGCGAGGCATGTTCTAAAAATAGCACTGGTCACAATGAAGCCCCGTCTAAAAAGTTTTTTGTTGCTTTACTTTTTCAATCAAAAACGCTTTTTATTTATGTATATTTTTAAATGACGTTATTTATTACAAACATTTTAAAACAAAAATGTTTTATGTACTATCGGTCGGCCTCAAAGAGATTCTGGCAAACCGTCCGGCGCCTCAGGAGGGGGAAGCAGTGCCCTGCCAAAACTGTTTACAGTGGAGGTGGGCAGCTGTTGACCTCAACTGGGGACATTGTCGGACGGTGGAAGGAATACTTCGAGGATCTCCTCAATCCCGGCGCCATGTCTTCCGATGAGGAAGCAGAGGCTGAGGGCTCAGAGGTGGACTTTCTTTGGCAGCGGAGATCCATGCTGTCTTCCTTTATGTAGTGTTAAAATTTAACTGTGACCGTCAATTTCTTCAAATTATAGTTCATGAACAACGTGCTTCCTCTTATTGCTAACGTTACTTCTTTGTCTAAGCATCTCCAAATCCAAGCTGCTACTTCAATGTGAAAAAAGTGAAATTCATGCTCTAGAGCAGGGGTCACCAACGCAGCACACGATCGCCTGCAAGGACCACTTGAGGCGCCCGCGAGGCATGTTCTAAAAATAGCACTGGTCACAATGAAGCTCCGTCTAAAGCTTTTTTTGTTGCTTTACTTTTTGAATAAAAAACGCTTGAATGAATGTAGATTTTAAAATGACGTTATTTATTACAGAAGTTTTAAAACAAAAACGTTTTAACGAAATCTGGCCTTTTCTGAAGTCAAATGTCAATATTTCGTGCATGTCAACACCACACACCTCTTTCCTGACACAGGGAGGCGGTGCAGCAACAATCAGGAGTTAGTTGTGATTTACCCCCCAAAAATGGCAGAAAAGCGAAAGAAAACATGCCATTTTCACAGTGATTGGGAGGAAGAGTTCTTTTTTTTTACGTCAGTCAAAGAAACGTGTGTGTGTCATTTGCGGGACAACTGTTGCGACGGCAAAGCGGCACGATGTGGAGAGACACTTCAGTACATGTCATGAAAGCTACAATGCTAACTACTGCAGGACTGGTTCTTGCTACCATGCTAAGTCTGAGAGACGAGGCAGTCCAAGTAACTTCAAAACAGTGCTGATTTATTCAAAGGATCACAGGTAAAATTAACATTACACGCTCAGGTATCTTCCACCCCCAAACTGCTCACAGGCAGATGTAAGATGAAAGACCCTGAACCCACCAGGCCTATACATTATATCACCTCGGTTGGGCTAGCCCCATACTACACAGAAACGTCAAACGAGACGTCTCTGTTGCCAGCTTTGCAGCTGGTCATAGCAATAGTCAAAACATGAAGCAAATCAATGTGTGTGTGTGTGTCTGTTGATTAAGTGGTGTGTAACTAAAAACATTCTCACAGACCTCTAGTAACATGTCGTGACTTAAACATAAGAACATATTATGACTAAGGCTACAGTTATACACGTCATAATAATAATATTAAACACCCTGTCTGCTGACAGTCATCAACTCTTCTCTCTAGTTATCCTTGACCAGATGTACCCTGTAGAAACTCATAAGCATGACTAAGCAGTTAACAGTCTAACTAGACATCCTATCTCCACTAAACATTTCTAATACAAAAAGTATC